GATCAACTTGAAAAACTTTCAAATGGCGGCGATATATATAGTAGCTTAGCTTATATTCGAGACAATTAAAAAAAAGTAGTTTTCCACATAGTTAAATTATTGCATAAATGACATATATAGATCTAACAATTAGATATACCATGTTGTTATTGTATGTATGTACTATAATTTTTATGATGTTAAGAGTAATATTTTTGACATATTTCCAAATATTATTTGATGATTTTTACTATAATTATTTTATATTTCAAATACACTTTTGAACATAGTTATTAAGATTTCAAATTTGCTTTTAATAGCTATAGTCATTTATAATCAACTTATTTATTTTATGTTATTGATATAGAGTATAGTTATTAGTGGATGAAAGATTAACCAGATAAAATAGTCTTTTATTCAATTATATTAATTCTCAAGATTTATTTCTTTTTAAACCTATTTTGCAAATCTATTAAAACATTTAGATTAGCACAAAAGATTTCTTTATTTTTCTATAGTATAGAAATAACTGTAAGTTATTACTTTTTCTTATTTAAAGATTGTTTTAGGCTATCTTCATTTGTGAAGATTAAAAAGTTTATTTATTCTATTTCTTACTAGCTACAATATATCAAACATAAGTACACAACACAAAGACCCATATATATCATGTCCCAACTATCTTCCAACATTTATAGTTTTTAAAAGTTTAAGGCATACAACTAATTTGTCTACTAATCGTATTACCCCGCTTTAATTAATAAATGATGGTCAATCAAACCACAATTTTCGTCCTTATTTTGGTGACCATACCAATCGCAGTCGGAACTTTGGCTGGAAAGAACAGAATTTCCGATCTCCATGAGCAGAAAATCGAACTACGGTTGAAACAACTCAACAAACCCGCTATTAAATCCATCCACGTATTCACAAAAAAAAAAAAAATATACCAAAACTTAATTAACTACTGTTTCCAAATATTATTTTAGCTAACTCCTTTCTATTCTTATGTTCATTTTTCACATCGAATAGAGTCCAGACGGAGATATAATTGATTGTGTATGGATCTATGACCAACCGGCTTTTGATCATCCTTTGCTAAAAAACCACACCATTCAGGTTTTGTAATATAGTTTTTCGATTTTTTTCTTCCTTTCGATTTACATTACTCTTAGAATTTCATGTGTTATTTCGTTCTTTAAAAAAGATGAGGCCGAAAAGTTACTCGGTGAGGGACCAGACTCGAGGTAACAAGACAGATACTATACATCAGTTGTGGCGCACAAAAGGTGAATGCCCTGAGAACACTATCCCCATCAGAAGAACAACAAGAGATGATCTTTTAAGATCAGATTCCATCGAAAACTATGGAAGAAAGAGCCCACCAACTATTTATGACCTCGACAGTAATCGGACTGAGGAAGTTCATGAGGTGTGTATATACAAAGGCTCAGGGCCAGAAAACAAAAACTTAATTAGGCTTTTGATTTTTAAAATTAAATATTTTGGGCTCTCTATTTTATTTTTTAAAGAAACATCTTTATAGCATACTTATTATTAAACTTATAAGTGGGATATAGTTCCAAAACGCATACTATTCTGTCTTTTCCCAAACTAGTTATAAGAAATATTTAGATGAAATTTTCAATAAGACTTTTCTTAATTTGTAGCATGCTTATGCGCACGTGGACTATGCTGAATTCCAAGGCAGCAGGAGCCGTATAAGTTTATGGAAACCAAATGTTTTAAGTACGAGAGAGTTTAGTTTGGCTCAAACATGGGTAATCAATGGACATTGGGACACTGGTTTGAACTCTTTGGAATCTGGTTGGCAGGTAGTAATTAACTAGTGTTCCTTTTTAGTTAACACTTTTCTTGTGTGTTTTATTCTCAAATTTTCCATTCTTGCGCAATGAATTTATAATTCAAAAAGGATTGGGAATAAGTAGATATAATATTCATTTTAAAGGATTTGGAATTCCTAATAGTTCTAACCATTTCTTTTTTACACTTTGTAATAGATCCTTCAAGTTATGTACGGTGACAATAATCCAAGACTTTTTGCCTATTGGACGGCAAGTTTCCAAATTTTTCTGATCAAACTTTAAAATTGTAAATGATTGAAGATTGTACTAATATTTTTTTGACGAAAAATGAAAACGTAGAATGATTCATACCGAGGAACCGGCTGCTACAATCTTTTATGCCCTGGCTTTGTTCAAGTCGACAGAGACATTTCCCTTGGTGCAGCTCTTAGCCCTATCTCGACCTACAATGGTGACCAATATGATTTCGAACTAACTATCGAGAAGGTATAATTTATGAACAAGCACAACTAACATTTTCACAAATTAAAGAGTGTTATCTCTTAATTAAAGTT